ACAATTGAGGAAGTAGTTGTTCACTGGTCAACATGAAAATCTAAATATATATGCAAATTTAACCACCAAAGGCTGATTTAATTCTCAAATAAAAACACATTTCAGAAGAAAGAAGAGATTTCAAATATTGAATCACAGAATACATAACGTAGAATAGACTACAAACATTTCAGGATAAAAAAAACCACTAATATCCAAAAGAAGATTGTTTCTCATGACATTTTTACATATCACTTGAATTCTATTACTGTTGTCTCCTGCTTTCCCTTCAGAAGTAAACTTCTAATAGCCTTCAAATTAAGACATCCTTTACAAGAGAAACACTACTTGCAGGGTCAATGGGTCTCCAGAAATGCCTACAGAAGTGGGGCACTTGTTGCCCATTTAGTTTTTATCAGGATGTATTTACTGAGAAGGGTGAACTGAAATGAGCCACAATCAGTCTCCAAGAAGGGAAGTTGTTCTATTTGAGAGGGCTCTAGAATACTGTAACATAGAATTTAAGAATGAAAAATAATAGTTTGAGAAAAATGTACACCATTTGGAGAAATTTTCATGCATAAGTAATTCTGACCTACAGGGAAAAAAAAGCAAACAACCAACCACCACCTACAAACCCCCCTTGAACCCCCAAAACTCAAGCTGCTACTTTAGACAGATGGCAAACTTCCCTCTCCATACCATCTGATCTACTGAACATTTTTGCAGTGTGGAAATATAGGAAAACAACATCAAATTTTCAGGGTTCTGATAGACAGAAAATGAATTTAGTTTAACCAGTAATTTACAGTTAAGCCTTTCTTCTGAACTATGTCATATTAATCACATCAAGTCTTAAGCAACTGGTTCTACACGTTAGTTTCCACAATAAATATCACCAAAGATTAAGGAAAAAAGTAGTAATTATGTAGTTAAGGTTACTCAAATATAAAACTCAGGAATTTTTTTAAACCCTTAAAATTGTTAGATGATCTAAACAGAAACAGAACTACTGTCTTGCTCGCAGAAAGAAAGTGTCTAAAATTGCAGATAACTACGTAAGTTTAAAGGTCACAGTGAAAACACCTATTTGATCTATAAACCTTCTGCTTCTTGGTGGACAAGGATTTCTGCTGGCTTTCAAAACTGTAATTTGAGCTTCCCTCCTGGCTTTGAAATGAATAGCCCTAGTTCTAGCCTAACAGATTTCCCAAACTAAACTTATCCATGAAATAGTGGATCAGTGCAAACATTAACTGGCATGGATCCCAAATCCAGCCTGAAAAGACCCGGGATTAGACTGTAAGTGTCTGCAACACGGTGTTTAGACAGTATTTCAACTTTACATGACCAAGATCATATGGAACAATAGAAGAAATACAAAAACCAATAAAGCAAAAAGGGAAAAAAATAATTTTAAGTATTCATAAAACTTGTATTTATCGTGTACAATTTTGGAAGGCTTTTTCCATTGTCATCATACACTGGATGCAAAGCAATCTTTACAAAATAATAGCTATAACATGACAAAATGTTGGCAGACTTCTTGTACACAAGTACCACCTTTTCCTGCCAAGAGCAAGAACATTTATTTTAGACTGTGTGATACAGCCAGCCATAGATATTCAGCTGTACTGAAATTAAGTTGGTTTCAACAAACACTCAGGATATTAGAAGAAACAAAACACCGGCCAGGACTTCTTTATTGTTCCAAATGCTTGCTTTTGTATTTTTCTGAAATTCACATTGTCACAAACACAAAACATAAGTCCCATTATATGGGAAAGCAACTATCCCAATTAGAAACACAGAGGAAACTATGATAGTTTTGTTGTATCTAATAAGAAGATACGTATAAAATAGCGTGAAGTAACCAAGTCAAACAGAAGATAGCTTGTTTCCAGATCCTGTTAAGTACTACTGCCAAACCGTCCATTGTTTTGCCAAGTAAACAGCTATCACTGAGTACTCCTCATTAGTATCTGGAAGCAAGAGATAAAAATATAATAAGATTAGGGTGTAAAAGACCCCAGTTTTGGATGAAGACTCCATTTAATAAGGAAGAAGCTTGAAGCCTTAGTTTTGCAAAAATTATAAAAACAAGTTGTATAATAAAGCAAAACACAAAGAAAGCATTCATATAGTAAATCCAAGACTGATATTCAGAATTGTGTTTAGGTGAGACCTGAGTGAAAACAGATACTTAATGTTGAGGAGGTTCCTTTGTTTTAGGTAGCAAAGGCTTTGAAATACACAGTAAGGAAGAAAGGGGTAGAGGTATCTGCATCTCGGCAGAGAAATCACCACATGAACAATCTGTAGGGACCTAAAGAAAACTTGGAAAAGTCAAATGAGTTGGTAAATAACTTTTCTTCCATGGATCTGTAATGCCAGTTTGCTCTGCAAACATAGATATTACCATGAAAATCTGAGAAAACAACAGTTTTTCCTTTTGAAGTAGCATGATCTTCAGATTTCTTGAAGAACTAATGATCAAGCCTTTGTAAGAGTATTTAGAAGATAAATAAGTAGGGTTAACATACCACTGGAACACATACCTGGAACACACCTGATACTAACTGAAATCCTAAAACAGTGGATTTTTTTTAGTAAAGCAAACACGCATCTTCTCTCATACACCAAAATTCTCCAATTAAGTAACAGATACAGATTTACCCATGGATAGATCAAACAGCTAAAAATCAGACCCACACATCCAGGCTGAAGGTAACTTTATAAAACTGGGAGTATACTGACTGGAGATCCTGTTGTTTCTTTTCTCGTGGTTGCACTCAAATGAATGATGCTATAAAGAGCGCCACAATGTCAAGAAGCTATCAGATCTTGTGGCTTAGAGATCCTAAATTGAAAGAAAGGTGTTACTTTATTGTTGCCACTGGCAGATTGCAGGTATTGCAGGTTCACCCCAGCCAGCAGCACAGCTCCACACAGCCACTTGCTCCCTTCCCCTCAGTGAGATGGGAAGAGAATCAGACGTGCAAAAGTAAGAAAACTTGTGGGTTTGAGACTAAAGATGGTTTAACAGGTAAAGCAAAGTTGTGCACACAAGCAAAGCAAAATAAGTAATTCATTCAGTACTTTCCATCTGCAGACATATGTTAAGCCACTTCCAGGAAAGCAGGGATTCCTCATGTGTAATGGTCATTTGGGAAGACAAATCTTGTATATCCAAACATCCCTGTTCCTCCTTTTCCCCCTTGTTTTATTGCTGATCACAATATCGTATGGTCTGGGGTTTCCCTGGTGTCAGCTGGGATCAGCTGTCCCAGCTGCTTCCCCTCCCAAATTCTTATGCACCCCCAGCCTACTCACTGGCAGGGCAATGCGAGAAACAGAGAAAGCCCTGATGTGGTGCAAACACAGTTCAGCCTTTAACTAACTACCCTAAAAGAACCACTGCCTAGACAGAAAAACCCAGAAAAGAAGGGGTCTGCATTTTGCTGTTGCACAACTAGCCAAAAAGCTCTGGATGACTTACTTGAACATAAGCCCACTGCCTAAAATTCATAGCTGCCTGAAAACAAACAGCATACACCCCTCAAAGCCCCCAGTTTTTCTCCTAACTACAAATCAAATGAATTACAGTTAACATGTAGTAATCAGACCAAAGGTTGTCTTACTTGATGTCGGCATAGAGTTATGACAAATTCTAATTACTCTTTATACAAATTGTCTCACGAATGAAAAATTAATAGATCAGATTTCAAAAGGTAGATATTAGTTATACATATATAAACTCTTCACGAAATTTCAAAATGAGATTAAAAAAATATTACATACACATAGGAAAGTCTTCAAAATCAGATGGGATAAATAGGTCTCATGGTACTTAAATTCCTTATGCCTTGTCTAGTCTATGTTAGCCTGGAGATGCCTGCATCTCTTTTCAGTTTCTTCGGGAATTTCAATTTTTTGTCAGGGTTATCAAATACTTGCAAAAATAGAAGTTTCATTTAGGTTATTTAAAATCTTATTTCTCTATTGTTTCTACCACATAGTGTGCGTGAACAACAGGATTCCCTCTTGATATGCTTTCCAACTGCCAATTAGTTTATGAAGTAAAAAGGTCTAGCAGATTATCAAACTGGGCTGCTTTGTATGCCACAAATTTCCTCTGCTTTTACTTCATCCAGAGGGAACACTTCTGCATCACAGTTTACATAAAACATTTTTGCAGTCCGCTTTTATGCATCAAGCACAAAGCATAGATCATACTACAGCTCTCCTTCCAAGTACGGATATAAACTGTGTATTTATAACCGCTCATTCTCACATAATTGCACATTGTAACAGTCTGCATGTATATCTGCATGTAAAAGAACAGTTTTCTCATGTCTGCCACGTATTTCTGAGTTTGCCTGACACTTGCTAATTCTTGTGTAAAGATAATCATGCAAGATAAACAGAGAGCCCAAAGTAATAGCTTTGTCTTTCATTAGGGTTTAAATTAGGCTCAACGCTGATGTTGTCAAGAATTAGCCCTCATAGTTAAGAAGTAATCTGCCTCCCAATTTGCCACAAGGACAGTATTTTGGAGCTGTAGCAGAAGACAGGGTTTGAATTTGCTGCGTTTGTCCATTCTTATGCAGAAAAAAAAGACTACAAATATTCCTCCAACCCTTAGTAGATCTGCTTTACAGTAATACTTCCCAGCACTGACTAGGATATATTCAGAACACGCACAATATTTCTGTGAGTCTCTAAGCCCACCACATACACGACCATAAAAGTCTTCTATTTGTCAGTTAACTGAAGAGATTACTGTTAAGCACATTCTGATACTTTCTTTAGAAGAGTTGCATTTTAGGAAGCACCAAGCAAGCGACTCTTCTCTTTCAGCACCTCAAAAAGCAAAACATATTCCTTCAATCCTAACTGTTAACCAGCTAGTTTCTGCCCTTGAAAGCTGCAGTCTAATCATTTGGACTGCCATAGCCAAGAACAGACTGTGAAGAGGTGCTGACTCCTTTAGTATTTACCCCAACATATCACATACTTACACCTGGCATTTCTGTACAGTAGAAAAGGGTCCTGCAGCTGCAAATCAAGGTCTTTAGTAATTGGCTCTGTTCGATTTTCCATGCTCAGTCTGTTCATAATTGTGAAACCATGCCTCGGAGAAGCCGATCTGAAAATTATCAAGTAGAAATCACATAAAGTCAAGGAAAAAAAGGAATTAATAGAATTGCTTTGTTGTATAGTTCTCCAAAATTGTCTCTTTTTTTTTTTCATTTTTAATTATTTCTAAAGAGATAATTTTGTTTTGTTGCCAAGGAAATAACAACAGACTCTTGCAGTGTTTTGTGCAGTCCTTTTAATTATGTCAAAACCCTACGTTATGCACCAGAAATAACAGAAGCACCACTGGTCTCACAATAGCTATGGAGAGCATGCCACACCTCCAGTACTACCATTTGATACCAAGTGATTTAGTCACAGCATATCTGCATGCCCAATTTTCACTCCAAGTTATAAGGCCTACAACTTCTGAACAGGCAAGATGTTACAAAAAGCTGCTTTGTCCCAGACTATCAGCATCACATTATCCAACCACCACCTACCCTGTAGTTTCTCACTGAAGTAAAAACCAGCAAATAGAACGATTCAGTCATGGGCCAGAGCAAGTATATTTTTTAATACTCAGGATAACAATTAGAGATTTTTTTTTTTTTTTTTGACCATTCCTCAGAATCAGCAAAGATGAGATAGGTAATAAAAAGTTCAGCTCAAGTAAAATGGTCACATTACTTTCCATTGTTACAACAACAATGAGAAGCAACAAAGGCAATGCTAGCAGTCTCCAAACTATGGTCTGTTGGCAATGTCTTTTCCACAGAACTTTATGACCTTGTTCAAAGCCACAGAAAATGAAAGTTAAAACTGAAGGGGATGGCAACATATGACATTACTCACAGCTCACAATCTGTTTCATACCATTGCCTATAGGGCAGTCAGGGTAGCAATCTCTTCTGTAAATGGAAACTTCCCCAGGCAACAGAAAGAACAGTGAAAGATCACAGATGCTAGAAGTGCCAGGTTATATGCTGTCAACTCTGGAGTTTTAAAACCATCATACCAGAGAAATACTACTGCTCTTTAGCCACCTCCACCTACTGCTGGCACAACAGCCAGCATCTTTCCTCTTGTGGTGGTAAATGTAACAGCATCTTGTCTCCACTTACCTGAAAGCGGCTTAGAAAAATTACTGATGATGATTTTCACTGCCAGTACAAAAGAGCTCAAAAGATTAAAACCAGCATTCTCACTTCACACAAAGCTTACGATCTCTTGAACTCTGTCACTTCACACATATATCTCTTACCTTCTCAAAACAATCTCTTGCTTTCTCAGTTCTCCTACCAGATCTTCAACATAAATATTGAAGAAGAAAGTTTCTGTTTTGGTGTCCCACCCCCACAGCTACTGCAAGATCTGCTTAATGTATTATTTCTGGTTTTAACAATAGTCACAGGGAACTGCTGGGGCACTAACTTGAAAACTCAAACATAGGATAGGCTTTGCAACAGATCTAATGTACACACTAGAATAAATGATATAACCAGTGCTTTGAAAAGCCACAATCAGAGCTGCTGCTGAAAGAAAGCATTAAAATAATCCAGAATGTTTGGTTAAATATGCATGAAAAAAGAATAATCAGACACAAGCTGTATTAAAGTCCCCTAAGCAGGGAACACAATACTTCAAAGTACTACAATTCTCTTACTTTAAGGAATATCATTATTTATTTCACTATTTGCTTTTTGTTCAGACACCTTTTCAACTGCAAATGCTACATCCTGTTTAAAACAATGTAACAGATTCCTATGGTTTACCCATATTGAGATTTAAATCACATTTGTAAGTCTTATCTAAGTACAAGGCGATGGCTCCTCCCCAGTGTTTTCTTACCCACGTTTTCTTACGCCACTTTCAGGTTTTTTTCACCCCTGACAAAGAGGAATATTTCATTCAAGCAGCCAAGGTCCATCCTAGCTAGCTTTTCCATATCCACAGATTTCATTTGCAGATGTGAACCAGTAGATCCTCACCTTGTGTAAACAAACAGCGTTCCCTCCACATCAGTCTTCTCCTGAAGAAAAGGAAAGTTAAGAGAGTTGAAATCAAGGGAGCTTTTTGCTAGCCATCAGTGAGCCTCCCTTTCTCACTCTTATACCAATACCATCAGTTAGATCTCTCTCACTTATGCCATGAAGAAATAACTAAATCCAACTTCATTGGCTGGTGGTGAGAGGCTAGAGCCTAGCACAGGTCACTCTGCAACTGACCCAAGCCTTATGACAAGACATTGAAAAAGCTAGGCTCAACACCGTAAGACTAAACATGAGACTAAACACCCAATGGTGATGCACAGGCCAGGGAAAGGATTTCCCAAACGGTGCCTACCCTCGGAGGCAATGCTCAGGATGGGTAAGGGGGAAACCACATAAAAGACAGGTTGTGCAGGTTCTTCAAACACAGATCCTAAGCCCCACCATTAGAACAATCCAAGAACCACCTGCAAATAGCCAGAACCATAGAATGGTTTGGCTTGGAAGGGACCTTAAAGGATCATTCAGTTCCAACACCCTGCCATGGGCAGGGACACCTTCCACTAGACCAGGATGCGCAAAGCCCCACCCTGGCCTTGAACACTGCCAGGGATTGGCCAGCCACAGCTTCTCTGGGCAACCTTTTCTAGTGTTTCACCACCCTCACAGTAAAGAGTTTCTTCCTAATATCTAATCTAAATCTCCCCTCTTTCAATGTAAAGTCATTCCCCCTTGCCCCGTCACTACATGTCCTTGTAAAAATCCCTCTCCAGACTTCCTGTCACCCCTCTTTAGGCACTGGAAGCTGCTCTAAGGTCTCCTCAAAGCCTTCTCTTCTCCAAGCTGAACAAGCCCAACTCTCTCAGCTTATCTTCATAGGAGAGATGCTCCAGACCTCTGAGCATCTTCATGGCTTCCTCTGGACTCGCTCAAGCAGGTCCACATCCTTCTTGTGTTGGGGACCCCAGAGCTGGATGCAGTTCCCCAAATTAATTACTTGTTTTAATTCTTAAATAGTCTTTGTAGCATTTGCAACACTAACACTCTTGTATGCACTTTGATTCTGCTACAGACGAGCCCACACCCTGGTTTAAACCCTAATCTCCTGCAGCCCTGCCCCACCAGCTTCTCAAACTCCATTTCCGAGGTACCACAGGGGCTTCTTAATCCGCAGAGAGACTGAGGCACCAACTCCCACCCAGCTTGATGAGCGCCCCAAGACATCCCCCAACAAAGCCCTCCCGAACCCACCCTCACACCTCCACCACGGCATCACCACCCCTTCCTTC